CAGCAGGAAGCATTTCCAAGCACTGTGGGCAGTGGATGCATTTTTTTTTTAGTCTCTGAGAGAAGTCGTCTGGGATGAGCGTATGACCACCTTGAACTGGTGGATAGGACTGTCATGAAAGGAATAGGTTTATGCTGCTACAGTGAGGGAAACCTTTTACATGATAGAAATTTTAACTGTGATTCTGTTTATTCTGCAGAACTGCAAATATTACAGGCAGAAGGTAACAATAAGACTTGTAAAGAAGATGGTTTCCAATACGATATCCAGCATTTCTTAAACCTTGTATCTTTAAAAAGTTTTTTCAAAATAATTAAATAGTTAAATTTTCTGTTCTCTAGTAAAAAAAAAAAAAAAAGTTTCACGCTTTGGAGTTTCAGAGCCAAAACATTAATTATTTTAATATATACTTTCTACCATTTACTCTGATACTTGCTGGAGAGACTCTAAACAGTAGCTTGATTTAATAACCCAAATAACAGTGGTTCTTACCATACAAAATTGCGAACGGAATAGATAAGACAGTCATAAAAAAGAAACCAAATGAAGTGCCTTGGAATAGACTAATTACGTATGAGAGTCAGGAAGAAACTTGCATTGCATTCAGGAAAATAACTGGATTATGCTTTCTTCTGATTTGATAAAGCCTAAGCAGAACTGATGACAATAAAAGAGCCAAGATGTGCAACCGTTTCTCCAAGTGACGTTTTCTCCTATACTGTTCCTATGCCAAATCAGATAGATGACACAACAGAGTATACAACAGTCAGACCCTCACTTATTTTTTAAGATTGAAATAACACACCTTGAAAAAAAGATGAAAGACCCTGAAAAGATGAAAACTGAATCCGTAAATGTTGCGTTACTAAAGCCATGCAGGAACCATTTTCAAAGAAGATGATACATGAAATTCAGAATTTCATCAAAATTGTACTACTTTCTTAATTTAGGAAAATGAGCTATAAATGAGGTATATATGTTTCTGTTCTTCTTTAAAGATATATCCTTCATCAGAATTCTCCATTTGTGGTCATACCACTTCATCTCAAGATGCAATATACACTTCAGTACAGATTTCAAGTTTCTGGTGAAAGGTTTATAATGTGTGCTTGCTACACTCATTTTTTAAATAATTACAGTGTCCATATCTATCTCTTTTCCCATTTTTTTTCCCAAATTTTGAGTCAGAAAAATTTCCATATGTCAACACTCATGACGAAGTATCTTTCACTTGAGACAGTATTTCCACCATCCTCTACTCTTTCATCCTAAGTGTCTTAGGCAGACATTCAGAGCTGTAACCTATTTATTAACAGCTGAATCACATTTAAAAAAACATCTATCTGACCTTTTACTTTTATCACAATGACTATTTATCTTCAGGAAAATGTATTTTGTTGGATATTCTTTTTCTCTTCTCTTGACTCAACTGGATCTTCTGGCACTCAACACTTTGATCAGCAACTACAAGCTAAGTCAGCACTAAATTTCTTATTTGCCTCCTACTACAAAATGTACTTCCATAGGCAAGTAAATCTTACATACTGAGACACTGATGTACTATGCTGCTCTCTTCACTGTATTTGTTTTTTCACATTTATATTTTTGCCTCTTTTTTCTCGTACAGATTTTTCTTGTACAGCTTTAAGTAAACTGATGATGCCATCCACATCTACATCTTCCTGCTAAATCTTTGTAACAGCCATTTGTTACAATGAAATTTTATCACATGAAATACCATTAAAACAAAATATCTATTGTTTTGCTTCAGATTTATGGTTAAAAAATAATCAATAATGATAATCAAATCCTTTCTGCAGAACTTCACTTTATAATCCATAAAACCATGCTATGATTTATACATTTGCTGGCTGCAAATTTATGGTCATTTTTTTTCCTACTAATGATAATCTGGTTTCATGTAAAGAAATTTATTTTATGACATAGAATACTGCCAGGCTAAGACTGTATGTTGGTGCAAGAAGGGAGACAAAGGCATTGAAATGTAGACAAATGTTTGCATTATTTCCTGAATTGGCTGCTGTTATTTCCTCTTCCTAGTTTTCCCAAAGGAGTTTTAACCTACCTAGAGTCTTGCAGCTTGTCTCATCGTCACACATAACCTTACCCAGAACATCACTTCCACTTTACTCTCTACAGTGGCTTGCAGCACAATACCACATCATATTACTTACAATCTTCCTCATTTAGATTTTCAGTTTGTAGTTTAGAAATGCTGGTTACATAAGCTGGAAGGCATGCCACCAAATTGACAAGAGATGTCTTTTTAGCATCTTCAAAATACAGATTTAAGAACTGATATCTATGCATCCTACCTGTTTCTATAGCTAAAAATTCTGCTTAAAGTCTCAGGCAAATTCTGTATCACAAGAAGAGATACTTAATCCATTTAGGCATTCAAGAGATCATGTATCTCCATCACTATTAACAGACAGCTACTTGAAAAATTACTTCCTATATGTTCAAGGCCATTTAAATTTACCACAGAATAGAAGCCTCCTTCTAAAATTTCCCCCCTCACAACAGTACTCGGTTCAAGCTCCTCAGAGCAAAGAAATATCAATCATCCATGTTGCACTAGAGGTGCTAGCTTGTTACAATTCCAGTGAGAAAGCCGCTCAGACTCTCTGAAGTACCTCTTAAAATGTTATTGGAACTAAGACTATAAAGAAACAGAAGATGGTATCAATAATCTTATATCCCTTCAGATGCTGGGAATCCCAATCTGTGCGGAATTGAGCCTTCAGCCAGGCACAGCATGCTGTGCAGATCTCAGCTGTGGGAGGTTACCCCATTTTGGTCATTTGAGCTCTCACAGGATTTTCTTATGAACAAACCAACTCTATTCATCATTTATACTGTCAAATAAATGGGTCATTCACATGGGATCCTGCTGCTGAAGGTTTAGATAAAGGCAAGGACACACAAGTGGTGTAACTTGTGGTAGCAAGCAGAAGCTGCCTGTCAGCTCCTCTGTTACAATTAGCTGGCTAAGTCTATCCTGTAGCCAAGGGAGTGTGCAGCACAGCCCTGAACATCAAACCACGCGCACCACAGGCCTGCACTGTCACGTGGATTCCTGCCTCCTAGGTGTACAATGGCCTTCCAGTTAGGATCACTGCAGCAACTTACATTCCAGTGGGATATAAATTCTTTAAAGTAAATTGAGTTTACCAATTGAGTTAAAAGGCTGAAAGAAAAAGTCAGTTAAATTGCATACCAGTCAGCACCACTGTGTGTTCTCCACCACAAGCAACCTTATTAACCTTTTCCATAATTCCCAGTACAGGCTGTGGGACTCTATTGTTCTTCAGCTGTTCAGGCAATAATCCCAGTTTCCCATTTTCAGGTTCTCCAAAAGTATAGAGCTCGCCATCTCCTGTGAAAATACAGAAAAGAGCAGGATTTCCAGCATGCACTCAGAAGCAAGGGTTTATTGTCAAGACTGCTGCAGACACAAATCAGTAAGACAGGAAAATGTATGAACATTATGGGACTGTTCAGCATATTAGTATAATGTCCAAACAGATGTGCAAAGCTGTCTGCTTTGATGGAATGAGAAGGGGCTAGATTTTAGCCCTCTCCAAGGGGGAAGCCACAATATTTAGCCGGCAAGGAATCTAGCCAAGAGAAGAACAAGACCATATACATCCTGCTTCTGTGAGGTTGTAATTCCTTCCATAATCAGTATTTATGTCAACTGAAGTTGTTTTTAAGAATCTCAAAACAGATTTTTTTGCATGGAATTTTGATGGAAAATCCATGCTTTCTTCTTGTAAGATACAAAGTAAAAAAAAAAAAAAAAAAACACAAAAAACCCAGAGTAAATGACGTGAAAATATGTGTGGTTTGGACAGCAAGAAAAGTACTATATATCCAACAACAATAATGCAGCAGTGGTTCATAGCAATAACTCCACCAGAATTAAGTGAAAAAAAAATGCTATGAGGTCTTCACAGATCTCTTCCTGTAACTTCTTTCTCATCAGGTACATAATCATACAACAAGACCCTTCTCATTCACACCCGACCTTTTAAGAATTCCATTCAAAACCTGTTCAATCCCAAATCTGTTTTACTTTCTAGTTTCCCCTGTTTTATCTTTTCCAATCACTCCCTTTACTTTTTCACTTCTATGTTAGTCTGAATTACCATTCATGAAAGCATTCTATATATCCTTCTACCACAGTTAAAACATGTAAAACACATTTTCATTGCTATACTTAGAATTTATCTACATTTATCTACTTTATATATATATACACACACACAATTTATCTACATCTACATTTCTGATTTTCTGTGCTATGGGGCCTCCAACTATTCTAATAGGTCAGAGCGAGGTTTAGGTAGAAAACATTTCCTTACTGCCAGGAAAGCTTCCAGTTAAAAGCTGAGTGTTCTCTACTCCTGAAAAAGATGTAGTGTCTTCATATCAAATTGTGGCCCACAATGTGAATTTGAAGTTTCTTAACAAAAAAATCATCATACACATCATACTCATATTATGTAAGAAAAAGTTTGGTTTTAATCCCAGTTGGACATAATAAACCACAAAGATAAACAGAACTCTCACATGTACATACTCGCAAGATAAAGGAATGTTTAAACTAGTTTAGGAGCTGCCTGCTAAAGGAAATTTGAAGATATAGCTACATTTACATAATCAACATAATAACAAACCCCAGGCGTATACTCCATTATTAAAGCTCGGTCATCAGAAGCACCCATCTAGCATATTTTTAGAAACATGCAGATTTGTACTTCAATACAAAATGTACTTTTACTTTCAGAGGGATACATATAGTCTTTTCAGAGGGATACATATGGTGTTCACAAACTTACATCATTTAGATCATTTAGAAGCATGACACACAAGTATCTAGGAGATTCTCATTCAAATGCTATGAATTGTCAGCCACAATTTAAAATTTGGGAATTTTAAGGACAGTGACAATGACCAAAGAAATAAGCCTAAACAGAAATAGGAAATGTGGAAGAGAGAGAAGTAAACATGCATAAAAATGTAAAGTAGAAAAAGTGAAGCTACATATGCATTTTAAAAAGCAAGTAAGATTAGTCAAATTATTAAAACGAAGTTAGTAAAAATTGAAAGATATGATTCAAAATGAAGTTTATTAAAACCTGGGCATATCAAGCCAAGAAAGAAAAGTAATCGTATCTTTCCAAATTTTTAATTCTGATTATGAGAAAGTCAAAACTGGTGTCAGTAAGAAATGTGTCATTTTTACTGAATCTTCACGAGTTTTAGTCTGGCAATCTAAAACTCCTTGTGCATGAATAAAAACTGGACAAGAATTTCAGATTGCAAAACTGCATCTCCATGTTGTGTAACTGTGTGACAAGTAGTAGTAATACATTTCTATTTAACTCGTCTGGTAAATCCATTAGATAAACCAGATTCAAAATGTTTTTCTTGGAAAACTCTTTTGCCAGTGATATATGGATTTTTTTTTTCCTTCGTGGCACTCGACTCTTGATTAGTTTGTGCTAAAGAGTGACTACAGTAGCAGGTGCATGGAACAGAGCAGCACAGACTGCTTTTGCCAAGATCCTCCATCAGGAGGTCTTTGATGGATTCTGCAAACCCTTAAACTACCATGTCTTTTAATAAAGCAGTACTTCTCCTCTCACCCTCTCAGAGGAAGCAGTCGTGATGATCTGTGATGTGTTACCTTTGGTACAGACAGCCCACAATAAGCAAAAAAAAAAGGTCTAAATTATGATCTATTTTCTTCAAAGGAAGCCTGAGGATAGCTTTTCAATATGAATTTTAACTATAGGGAGAATCTGGAGTATGTCTCTTACTTTATGGTAAAGTTCATTCAAACCTAAACATTCAAGTTCATTCATTCATGAAAAAAAAAAAAAGAGGTTATGCATTTTTTAAGATACCTCAGCCTTGAGTTATTTTAAATCCATAAATTCATCAATAAATCTGAAAATTCTGAAAAAAAAAATGACATACTCAAAGAGCAAAAACTGTAACAAGAACTTTTTTCCATAAAAGCCAAATTCCTGTTTTAAAGGGAAAATGGGTCATAACGCAACATAAACTTCCAATTCAGCACTTCCACTAAAAATTTACAACCTAATTTTGATGTCACAATATTTACCTGTAAGGTTTAAAAGACCTAAGAAATTTAGCCTCTGCCTTAGTCAAAGACACCCCAGACTATTTCATATGGTTTCTGTATTTTCCAAGATCACAACAGCAGAGACTGTTGAAGGACCATACTCCTGGGCTGCTAAGGCTAGCGACAGGACTTACTGCTCTCTTTACTGAATGCTCCAACTGCATAGAGGGGGCAATGGGGGAAGGACAATAATGCAGCCCTACTCCATGCCAGGTGTCCTGCAGGGTGTCGGAGGCTCAGGGCATTAAGTGCAGCCCCTCAGGATCTATTCGCCAAGCTACGTCCTCTTCAGCAAGACAACACAATGGGACAGCAGCTGCACCTCCAGCTCCCAGCATCAGAGGTGTAACCTCACCCTCCCAGATGTCATTTCTCTACTGTTCTGACAGATTCTTTCCTGCACAACCTACTCCAATAATATTACAACACTTCATTTACTTGAACGTATCTGTGCAAAAATACCTTCGCTGCGTTCTTCTACACTTCTTAGGAGGCACTTTGCAACTATTTCAATATGTGTTTTTTTTTTAAGAAGTAGCGAATGAGCTCAGCAGCAAAAAAAGTATATTTCATTTAATTTCATTTCTAAACTATGGACTGTAAGTAGGCTTCTCTGTTCAGTTTGCTTTTCTATTTTAATGCTGACCTTTATTCTTACACCTTTATGCAGACAGACTCTGAACAAGATGATACTTTGCCATTATTTGCAGAAGCATCAATTTTCTATTCTGAAAGAGTAGTCCAATCAACAACAACAAAAAACCAACTGCAATGTGAGGTTTTCTGTAACCAAATTTGTCAATTCCATTGACAAAAAGAGATTTTATTTGGGATGCTAAGTACAGAGAAACAAACGAAAAAATCCAACAGCAAGAAGAAATCTGTTTAGTTTGGAAGGTAAGTATTGTTTTAACACCCTTTGGTCTGCCATATACTTCAAGGAACAAGCTGATAAACCCCTGAACGCACTTGGGATTTAAGTACTTATGCAGTTGTCTTTGAAGACACCAGCACTTCTTTTTAAACACTACTTCACTGCAAATATTAATCCAATCACAATCTAATTAATAGGATTAGAGATTCAAATGGCCCAGCTCCCATTGACTTCCCAAACTAATCAATTTTATTACATTTTTTCAACTTAATAAACCAGCTAACAAAGATAAACGCATTTATTAAAGCAATTTTTGAATACATTACGCATACACTTAAGGCAAATAGTAGTCTAAAACCTATGAAGAATAGCTATCAAGCATAAAAATAACCCAGTCAAAACCAGATAAATTTTGAATGCTTCATGTGTGCAGTACATCTGCATTTTAAGGACATCCTGTTCACAATGGAATCTAGTTATATAATTTTCTCTTCTCATGTGAGTCACGTTCCCACAAGTTGAACTTTCCCTAGTGTGGCACATTTTCTTTACCATTAAACTTTAGGCCACAGGAGCATGTCAAGGAAATGGGCAAGCAAATGGAAAACCATCTCTGTCTCTCAAAGGCAAGTGCACATACTGCAGATGACAGAAGATATGAGAGCTGGCTGGTGGCCAGTGAGGGCAGCAGACAAAAGAATTGGACCACTCTATGATCCCCTGAATGAAGAAAAGAAAAAGAAAATCAGTTATTTATTCAAGACCAAATTGGTTGAAACTACCACAAGCTCTGAAATTACCAGCATGGAAGTGTCTGGAACTCACAAAGCTCTCTATGAAAAGACATCTTCTCAGTAAGAATCTGTCTTGACCTTGCTTACAGTATAGTTCAGGCATGGAAAACACTAGAAGAGGTCTAACACATGCAATTCCTTTCTGCTTCCACAAATCTAATTCTGGTGTAGACACCAGAGCAGTGGTTAGATATATTTGCTTTTCCTGCTCTACATCTCCTCCAGTGGACAAATGAGCTATAAATGCTTACCAAGCTTAATGTTTTCTGAAAAACTGTCCCATCTTCAGTGAGTGTGGTCAAAGACTAGCCAAATAAAGATCTGTATATGGATTCTAAATCATTGCTACACTTTTTCACTCTTTCAGCTTTTTGTTTTTCTGTTGCTTTGTTTGAGACGTACCGCTAATATGGGGACCTAACATCTCTGCAAAAAGAAAGAAAAGGAAACAGATACGGGAAAAAGTTCTCAACAAGGCTGGAAATGGTAAATTTTTGCCGATCTTCAGTGGAACTCTGAAGAATGCAAAGTGAGAGGAAAAGAGAACAAATAATCATTTTTCAAAAATCAAGCAAGTAACCACACCAGCTTCGGAATTTGCATATGGAAATGAGGTAGTCATGGCCCATGCTTATGCCCAGTTTAAATTTCAGAAGTGTATTTTATTAAAAATAGCTCAGGATATATTATGTTCTTCTATTCTACACCTACTTTTGGCATCAGTGGGGACCAAAATGTACATGGTACAAGAGAGGTGTCTGATGTTTAGTAGTTGAATTATCATTTGCAAAAAAGGCATTCTAAAAAGCAAAAGTAAGAAAGATAATAAATGATCGTTTTGGAACTACTAGATAAGAGAAGCATCACGGGTGGGTGGAGAGCTGCAGAACTGAAGTATAATTTCAGATGATTGAATGCTGTACAATTTCCATTAAACACACTTATCTACTAAAAGTTTGCATCAGGATTCCACTCTGCTTTTTACTGACATTGCACTTGGCTTTATAGTAGTTAAAACACCTCAAAGACAAAAGCCTACTAAATAAATATTTTTAAAACCAGCTGTTTTGAAGAAATAACAGCATTTGTTAAAAAAAAAAAAAAGCTGGAATCCATACTTTGTGATTTTTTTTTCTCAATAATCTCTTATCAATCAACATCCTGCCCTGGAGAGGGCACTCTGTGACCACACTATTTATTCCAGTAGCCTCATTAACCACCTTTCAGTTTTAACCCAGATATGCCTGTAATGCTAACAGTTCACTTAGCCAGTAGAAAGCTTATGTCAAATGTAAATATATTAAGAAAGGGAACCATATGACGCCATGCTCATCAGTTCAGCCTGACAACATGAATCAAGTCCTACATCCTGCAATTATGTTTTAATAATAAAGATAACATATTATTTGATGCTTTTTTATGTAAAAGTCATGTAGTAATTCTACGGTATTCTAATAACTGATAAGTTACAGGTGTTGAAAGCTTTCTATTAACAGTATTTCTCCCATTTCTTCCACACTAACAGCAACCACAACCTATAACAGTTCCTCTGGTCTACTTTATTATGTTGAAGGAATTAATACAGATTACACACTCACTTGAACAGTTCATATTTCATTTCTGGAAATACAGAAACAGTTTATTTTCAAGATATTTCCTCCAAAATTATGCACTAAAATAACACTAATCACTCTAAATCTTAGTATACAAGATAAAATCATACAATAAAAATGCATAGAGAACTCCTTGTGCTAGGCAAACTTTTAAACACACTTCAAGGGATAATTCAACAGCTAACTGGCAATTCAACAGCTAACTGGCAATTTGGAGAAAAACGAAACCAAACCCCTATTTCTGTATTATGAATATTCCAAATACTCCATAATTATCTAGTTTGCTATGTTCTACCACTTCTCAGAGGCAGAATACGGAGAATTTGAATCACTGTTCTGAGCCAGCCCAGCAAGTCCTACAGGGAAGTGCTTTCTGTAAGTTAAAAAAGAACTCCAGTAATACTAAAAGAATCCCTTTTTAAAAGAAAAACCTTTTAACAGCATAGCACCTTGACCTCCTTCCTAATTAGGCTGTAAAAAAAATAAGGTAACAATATTTTTACTTAAACTGACTCAGCTTGCAGAACTGCAAAATTCATAATTTAATGGCTAACTTCACAGCTAAAATAATCTATGACTATGTTACACTTTGATTAAATGCATAAGCTTTCTTTTTAAACACTGCCTAGATACACACTGACACCAGTGCAACAGAAGATGAATTCAGTAAAAGTAACCAGATGTCTAACACGAAATTTCTATGGTAGTTAGAAGTGTCAGTCAAATATAACTGTCAGCAAGAGCACAAAGGAAAAAAATAAAAAAACACTTGCCCTTTCACCACAAAACAGGCCACTTGTGTGTCACTAGTTTCAGCAAGACAGATCGAAGCCAAACTTGTGTAGGATTTGCAGACACAGAGGTTGAAAATCAAAATTTTCCATCTCACACTCAGTCCTATTTAAATAGTAATGGGTTCAACAGTTCCCCATTTTCAGGTGATAACCAGTTCATCTAGCGATTAATATTTTAAGAGGCTCCATTCTTCTTACCCAGCTGCTACCCTAATCCTCTTTGCTCATCCCCTTCCATTAAAAGTTTCCACTTCCATAGAGCACTTGGCACACACTGCTCTCTCCTTGCTTTTCAATGCTTGTCCTCAACCCTTCTTCTAATGAGAACTTCTGTCACATCCCACTGCAGCCTTGTCAGAGCCTTAGCTCTTGGCTCTAAGGCAGAAATACACCTTCTTAATATATTCCTGAAGTAAGGACCTTTTTCTTTTTTTTTTTTTTTTTTCATTTAATTTGAGTTCAAGAAGCTGTAGATTTCCTAACAGGTGCTGAGCTCCTGATCAGTCAGGGGCATTTCACTCACTTACTGTAATTCAGCATCCATATTGTAAGTAACATTTATTGTAATATTTATCAAGTAACCTAAGAAAAGTATCTGATGGAATAGTTCCTGGGTATCCATTAAAAGCTTTACAATCAAAACCACTGATCCTTTGAAATACTTAATTACTCTGTGGGGACTAAAATTTGAAACTTAATAAAGTAAATATGGCTGAGAGGAATTTATGGCTGCTCATGTGTAATACCATCAATACCAACTGATAAATTCACCCATCCTGGCAGTATTAAAAAATGAGTGGCATCATTACTGTGGAAAATAAGAGAGCTTAGAGAAGAAAGGAGGCAGGCAACAGAGAGGTGGGCTGGTTCACAGATGGGACACTGGCTCACTGCAGTATATGCTTCTCCTCATATTGTATACTGCCTGGTTACAAAAATTAGAATTTAAGACATAACATGAAACTTTGACAAATACCTCGCACTGCTAGCATATGAGATTATTTTTTCCTCAAAACATAGTAAGTCAAATCAATATTTATATTTCTAAAGAAGACAAGGACAATTATTTGATGAAGACAAAAAAATAAAAAGCTGGATTATTGAAACCATAGTATTAATCTACAACATTTATCATAACCTTCATGTAAACAAAGTGTGATAAGATAGTTACTCTTACTAATATACTTTTGCACAATACTGTACAAATGCAGAAAATTAACTGCATTTTTTTCTCATGGTTTTATTAATTCTACAGTAATAAACAATTATAAAGTAGATTACATACGAGTAATCCCAAATAAATCAATTAGGACTACATTTGAGAGAATGAGTCTCTGGCAGAATCTCTGAATGCAATACAAAATTACACAGATGACTTTCTGTCACAAGGCAGTTTCTAACAAGTATGGCACATCTGGTTTCAAAAGTAATGAATGTCTCAGTAGCTACCTTTACAAAGAGAACCATTGACTTGTCTGCACTCACCACCATTTCCATTCTCTTACCTGTTACCAAGGCAGAGTGATAATATCCACAGGATATAGAAGAAACAGGTTTTCCAACGTCCACTTGGCGAGGGACACTGACACAGGCTTCATCAGCCAAGCCAATCTGACCTTCTGAATTGTCACCCCACACAAAAAGCTGCCCGTCCTCTACAGTGAAGACACAGACAGTTAACAGATTTAAAACCAAAGTGAGTAAGAAGTTTATCTACCCATTTTATAAACTCAGGGACATAAAATGGTATTTAGCACACTGCAAAAAAACACCCTGAAGCAAAAGAGTATCCCTTAAGCTTTTCAAAAGTGGCACAGGACGGTTTATCATCAACTGATGTTAGACAATACATAGCAATAGGAAAAGTACTACATGAAAATATTCCTTCAAAAAGAGAAATATTGAGAGTGTGAGACAATTCAGTTGCTAGTCAGTACAAAAATACTACAGTGAATGTATTCTGACTTCTAGTATCAAGTCAACACTTTCCCATTCTTCTGAACCGGTTCTCTGTTCTGACTTCGGTGCACATCCCAATCATTCTTGCCTTATCTTGCAGTTATCTTCACAGCTAATTATACTGCCCAGCCTCGTTTTCTTTTCCTTAAACAATCACACAATTTTCGTATCACAATAGCTGTTCCAGGTTTATTAAGATCAGTCTTTGTTGACACAAAGACCAATGGCAGCAGTAAAACACAAAACAACGTAGCAAACAGGAAAAATTTTTCTGGAAGAGATGAGGTCTTCTCTCTGCATATTTCTTACTGGTGGGAAGTAAGTTATGAATAAAAAAAGGTACCATCTACACTGCTACTGAGATGCGGTTGGGAATTAAAATAATTCAAAAGCTGACACAAATTTCAGGAGAATGTTACCAACTGTCACAAAAACATACAAATCAAATAAGCAGGCTAGCATCTCTCTCTACACTCCAATGCTCTCTGTCACATTCCGAAAAGACAGCC